GAATAGTATTCACATTGGGAGCCGAACCAAGAAGGCTATCAGGTCTATGTGTGCGACCAAGTGGCCGTTTACAATTTAGATTGCTATTTATACCTGACGTATAGGGAACATGTTAGGGGACGAGAGAAAATTATCCTAAAAGCTGTTGCCACAAGTGGGGCGGCTTTTCTCAGTAAAGCAAGGTGGAACATGTTTGAGACGGATGTGTCGTCGTCTATATGCCAAAAGTTCTGGTACACCAGTCCAGCGCAAATATTCACTCTTGAGACTCCTATCGAGTTCAAATGGTTCAAATGGTTGAGGACGGAATAGAAGAAGCTTTCGTTTAACGGGCTTCCGTGTCTAGTAGCAGTGGATCACCAATACCTCCAGGCAATAACCTAGGTATATTAACTATAATAGAGGAAAAAAGAATTTGGTAAATCATAATAATATGTTATCCTTAGTCCTTAAGAATGCGTCAAGTTTCCTCTTTAAACACTACTGGGAAGTCACTTGGACTAGCTCAGTAGGCAGCGTTTGACACCTCTTACGGAGTAGAAGTTGTGTTTGCAGTCTGTTCTGCTATGTTGGGTCTCCAGTTACTGGGTGATACTGTGGTGTGGTCTACTTATATCCATATAAGTAATATACGGTGTGGGTCAGACATAGAATGTATTTTGGCAGAAGACCGATGAGGAAAGAACTGAAATGAAGCGCAATCGTTTGGAAAATGCATGAGCAGTGTAATTAGAGAAGAAACAGTCAAGATTGAAACAATTGGTTGTTAATTTGCAAATTGACTGTTCATTGTATTGTTTTCAGAATTTACTGAGATAGTCTGTAATTTTGCTTAAATACATTCGATTGTCCCCAACCAGTGTTCTGTTCACTACAATACCTCTTAGGTTAGTGTTGTGACTAAGCTTAAGAAGGTGTTTAAGGGGATGATCAGAAGTATGAAGGATACTATAAGTCATAAGAAGATCACCTCTAATACGCCTATACTCTAACGGGTAAAGGTTAAGTGATTGGAGGCACTCATCGTAAGGTTCGAATTGCAGTCCCCGAACATATTTCGTACCTCGACGTTGGATACGTTTCACAGTGTCCATATCCTTTTGGAGGGAGGGAGGAAATACTATATTTCCGTACTCTAAATGGGGATGAACAAAACTGTTGAAGATTATGTGGAAGGTTCTACCGTCAAACTGGCCAAAAATTAGCTTCCATGTTACCAGTGTAAGGTTTGCTTGAAATGCGTTTTTGGGAAAGTTAGCGTAGGACATCAGGTCGTAGGATACCAATACTCCTAAATCGTTTTCGACTTGGGAAACTTCTAGAGAAGAGTTTCTTAAGTTGTAGCTATAGTCTGCAACATGTCTCAGATGGACAACTTTGCACTTTGAAATGTTGAAGGTAAGTCCGTTGTCGTCTGCTTAACTTTGAAGTCCAGTTAGAACCTCCTGAAGTGCTAGTATATCCTTTTGGTTAAGTATTTCTCTCCAAAGTTTCACATTATCAGCAAAAAGCAATAAGTCAGACAATACTTGTTGAGGAAGATCGTTAATGTAAATAAAGAAGGGAAGAGGTCCTAGTTTCGAGCCCTGGTGGACCCCACTAGGACATCCCATAGCATAAGAGAGAGCGAATTTAACCCTGACCTTAAAATGTCGGTTTTCTAGATATGAAGCGAGCCAGTCGACCAGAGGGGTTTGATACCCAAACGTCTAAGCTTATTGATAAGGCATGTATGGTTGACTCTATCAAAAGCTTTTGAGAAATACAGGTAAATGACGTCAACCTTCCCCTTGTGATCAAGAATGGTCGTCCATCTATCCACTGGAGTCAGCAGGTTGGTCATACAAGAATGACCTTTCTGAAACCGTGCTGTTGGGGTGAGAAGAACGTTAAGGATAATAAGTATTTGTGTACACCGTCGTATATTAGAGACTCTATAATTTTAGAAGGTATGGAAAGAATGGCCATTGGTCGCTAGCTTGAGGGTTCAGTGCATCAACCACCTTTGAAAATTGGTGTGATGTGAGCCAGCTTCCGAATTTCCGGCAGTTTGAATCGGCTTAGCGAGTGTGAAAACATCACGCTAAGTGGTGATGCCAAAATTGATGCTGCTTCCCTCAATATAGCAGAGTGAACCATATCCGGACCGGGAGAAGTGTCTTTTCTTAGGTGCTGCAGTTTACGGAGCAACAGGTCAGCACTCAGGTCCATTTCGGAAAGTCCTGTACAGGTGCAGGTGAAGCTTTCGTCAGTATAGTTGATGTGGGTCGGCTGGAATGTCTGAGAGTATTGTTCAGCCAAAAGGTTAGCGGCATGACTGTCTTTATTGTTCGGGCCATTAGGACCTAGCAGTTGGGAAACTCCAGTTTTGCCTTATCGAAGAGAAGCTGCATAACGGAATAAGCTTTTCGGATTGGAGACGAATTTATCGATAAGCTTGGTCTGGTACTGAAGCCTGTCTTCTCTTATTGCCTTCGAGTATATTTTCCTTATATGTTTGTATTGCCTGTATGCATCGTTATTTTCAGTTCGTTTATATTCGGCCCAACAGTGCCTTTTGCGGCTTAGCAAACGACGAGTGCGGTTCTTGATGATTGTAGGTTGTTTGTAGCTTTTTGGGACCATTTTAGGAACTGAATGCTCAGTAGCACATAAGATCGTGTGCAGTAAGAGATCCCAATGAACATCCACTTCAAGTTGAGGGTGAACATGCCAATCCACCTGTTGTGGATAGTCATGAAAAGCCAACACATTCAACTGTTTTAAATTCCAGCCCCTGTTGTTGGTGGGATATCTTAGCTTCGTTTCGCTGACAAAACTAAAAGGAAAGGACGGCGTGACCACTTTTCCCCAGGGGAGCCAGCATTGAGAGGTCGTCGACTAGGAATTCTTCATTTGTGAATACCCAGTCTAAGCGCGACGGCGTCTGACTGTTTCTCCAACAGGTTGCCGACTTCACATTTTCGAATAACCCCAGGTCACTAATGAGGTTGAAGAACAGAGCTTCAGTAGAGTTGTCACCTCCAATGTATGTATGTTCCACGACGTTGATTCCAGGAAGATTGAAATCCCCTAGAATCAGGATATGAGAGAATCCAAGATGCGTATGGTGGGTTAGTCTGTAGTGCCGTGCTTCGATAATAGTTCACTTCGATAACCGTTATTATACCAATCTTAACGGTGTATAAAATCAGAAGGCAAAAGGAAGCGGCAACTACATTTTTATTGATAAATGATGCAGACTAGAAAGTTGTAAGCACATGAGCAAATGTAAGCGAGCGAAGTAAAGATGATGCATAGTGGAGATGGCTGGGAAGCCAACTCGATTTAAGCAAGCGTTAATCAACATTTATAGTCGGACAAAAATGAGTGACAGACATACGATGAATAAGATACGAAGTGTACACGTATATGCTCATATAAAAGTATAGTCAAGGTTAGTAAGCGAATAATTAACAAGATCAAAATATGACTCAATGTGTAGGTGAATTGGCTTGGCCAGCAACTGGAATAAAGTATATGGGCTTAACATAACAACCAATACTATAAGTCCTTCCAGCAAACGATTGTCATACTCGATGTCGGCAGTGGGCTTCCTGTAGATGACCCCAACTAGACAACACGAGGTGGTGGACAATCTCACTGAGCATCATACTGATTCTACAAGACTGAGAAACTCTTGGTTGTGAATTTGGTGTGCCACCAGGCATGACCGTTTGTATAATGCTACCCCGCCCCCCATTCCATTTTTCCTGTCGTTGCAAAATAAAGACATTCCAGGTATTGCTAACTCCTGGTCCGTGAACTGAGACGATATCCAAGTTTTGGATATTCCTATCAGATGAGCATCATTAGCTTTGCTAAGTTCACGTAGCTCATGCATTTTGTTTGGCAAACTTGCGACGTTCATGTATAAGCAGTTTATGCTTTCAATTCGGAACGCGTGAGCTTCTTACTGTGTGTCTATATGAGCCTTGCGTGAGTGGACAGGTAGCCTACCTATGCAATGTTTACGAAGTTGGTAGTCCCTGTCCTTTACACATTTTTCTTAATGATCAAGACAGTCCACAATTGGAATTGTCAGCTCCAGCTTGCGTTTGTGCTTGATTCTGCTGTTGTGTGGCCTATCCAGATGCATATGGATGCCAGTTGGCGACTGACGTCTATTAGCACGAAATGCTTCCAGAGTTGCAGCCGCCAAATGGGAGGAGGGGAAGGTTATCTTCAATAGCCGGGGTCTAGAGTCTCCGCCTTTCTTGGCTAGTCGCATCACCTGTTGGGTCAGTATGTTTTTGAGATTTAAGGAATGCTTAATGAATTTCCATTCCCGAATATCAGAGTTTTCTTGAGCTGGGTCCATATTTTCGGTACACCTTGCACGGTGATATTTCTTCCGCGGAGAAACGCCTCGCGAGATTCCTTAGGGATGTTCCGGATGAGATTTCGTTCAGAATACGGTATGTCGGATAGTATCCTTACGTTCCCAACGGATTTCAGTAAATGACTTGCTAGCAGGACGTCATCTACGTCGGAAGCATTCTTAAGTGTAACGCGAAGCAACCTCGGGTAGTTTCAGTAGTAAGAGTCCTTCCCTCGAGCGAGCCGTGTGACAGTCAAAGGCTCTGTTCTAGGGAATTCAAGCCTCTTGTTCAATTCTCTCCAGAGAATCCCATCATTTTTGTCCTGCATACAGAGGGGAAAGTCAGGGTTTTCAATAAGGCTCATGATTATGACAGAGTCTTCACGAACAGAAATTAATTTCCCAGGTTTCCCAGGGCGTCTAGGTTCGGTAAATTGTAGTTGCAGTTATAGCCCTCATATATGTCAATTGCATGGGATGGTTGAATAGAAACAGCCAATTAAAGAAAATACCTACGAGAAAAATGATATGAAGACGACGAATTACTTTTATAACAACTAAATGGAAAAAAATACAAATTGTTGACTGTTGTTTTACTCTTTCAATTAGTGTTAAAGCCGTCGTTGTTTCGCCAACCATTAGACCTTGGTTTCATTTTTCGCTGTCATGGTGAAGATATTCGTTGGGAACCTCAATCCAGAATCCAAACCTTCTGATCTCCGCAAAAAATTTGAGGCCTTTGGAAAAGTTACAGAATGTGATGTTGTTAATAATTATGGCTTTGTGGTAGGTTGTGATGATTTTCTAATCGGCTTTTAAGCATATGGAAAAAGAGTCTGAGGCTGAAGCCGCAATCGAAGGGCTCCAAAATGCTATTCTTGATGGGGTGAAAATTAATGTCGAACGAAGTCACGGAAAACGGGGCGGTGGTCCCGGGCCTGCCAGACGTAGGAATGAAGGGCGCTATCGAGATTATCCTCCGGAGAGAGGCCCACGCGCACCACCGCGTTACATGAACTCTGGCCCGCCGCCCCCGCGAATGGGGCGCTATGGTCCGGCTTGGGATGATGGATATGGAGGGCCTTACGGACCACCACCACCACGTAACAGCTCCAGAGGTAATATATGCATTATAAACCTGTAATCATTTAGGTTACGATTATCCCCCAAATGGTACCAATGGACGGTATCCTCCAATTGACCGTGTAGAGCAACACAGACCACTCCCACGAGGTCCAGCCCGTGACCCACTGCCGTTACCGCCCAGTGTGGGATATCGTGGACCTCCAGTCCCTGAGCCTATTCCGTCGCCTCGAGATTATCCTCCCAAAGCTCCCCCGATGAGACAAAGTTACGATATGTATGGTGAATATGACCGGTACCGGGAGCCAATAACGCCATCTGGTCCCCCACGCGCAAACGATTATTATGATACATACGGCAGTTACAGCAGCGGAAACTACGAGTAGGTTTTTTTCTCTAACACTAACCACTTCAGAGACTATAGGGAGAGCGATAGATCAATGTCAAATTATGATTCAGGATACGACTACAGTTACTATGACTATGGAATGGATAGCAGATCACCGGTTCCACCAAGATCAGGGTAGGCGGTTAAAATTGCTTAATAACAACTAATTATCAAGGTACAGCTACGGTCGCCCCTAACTAAAGTAAGTGCTTTATGATAAGCTACTCAGGATGTATTGCTCTAAGTGTTGAAAGTTTGTGCGTGCGTGGTCGTCTAAGTTGCTTAGTAAACGTGCTTCTCGTTTGCCCGCAGCCTAGATCTGTGCGTTGACATTCCGTCTGATTTTTCGTTCACCATAACTCAAGTTTACCTAACATTTCAGAGTCGTCCCGTGAAGTCAAACGCGAAGCAACCTCGAATCACGTAGGCAAGAGACGTTTGCATTTATAACTCGTTTCCTGTTCGTCGTTCGCATCAACGTTATTTGGCTAGTGTCAGCAGTCGTACCCACGATCTTCTGGCTTTTGCGTTTTGTAGACATCAATTCACTTTCAGTCGTAAATGTCACTTCTCGTTTTTATGCGTCATAAGAGACCGTCTAAATTTCCCATTTATCTTTTTTGAAATATAAATTGTGTTAGAAATCGTTGCTTTTGCGTTAGTTGTAGTCTACTTCGTCTGGTCTCTACGCGTTGCTTCACGTTTCAGTTATCTCGCGCTATACAACTTTGTATTAGGCTGGTAGGTCTCTTGTTGATTACAGGTGGCGTATGTTCGTTTGTCAACGTCTGCAGTTCACTTCCGGAGGTAGCCTTCATGTACGAACACCGTACTCCATCTGTCAAAATGTCTCGTGCTCATTACTGCTCCTGTCATGCTTGTCAACAATGCCTTGTGGGTCTTTAAAATACTTTCCTAAATGAACAGTCAAGACCATTTGTTTCTCCCACAGCATCTGCACACTGATATCCGACAGTGTCACTGGCCTTCATTGCGTGTCTACTTACAAAAATTCCATCCTACATTATATGGGATGCTATACTCTGTAAAGTCGTAAAATTATTCTGTGCGTATGTGGGAGATTTTTCACAAACGAAATCAGGACCATGTGGCGTCGCTCGTATTCCTCGAACTAAAGACCTATTTTTCCGATTTAGTAAAATAAATATTCTTGGCTGTATTAAGGAATTTTCATAAGTAGATCTTTCATCAACTGGTGGAGGTGCCATTCGGTTAAACATTTCTCTGAAAGAAATTGGGTTTTTATGTGCAGGCTGCGGATCTGTCGTTGCCGATGACTAAGTCTTGACATGTACTTTAAAAGTCCAACAACTATGCTGATGTCAAACGTTTAATTGGACCCTCAAAATTTTCAAATGGATAGGCTAGGTAATACTATCAAAATTCATGGGAAAACATGTTGGTCGTCCAGCTGCTTAAACAAACGAAACCACGAATAGTTTGAGGCCATTCGAAAATAACAGCGACTCTGGGTGTGCGTTGAAGTCTGTAACCACCCACACATTCGTGCCAAATATACCTTTGTTTTAGAAGTCTGTGCCCGCATATCGTTTCTGAGTTACTGCAGAATGACACCGGAGTCCCCGAACTAGGTTTGAGTGACTAGCTTGATAGTGATGCAAAATTAGCGTAGCCTCTAATAAGTCCTCGTCTTGTGTTCTGTACTAGCCAACTTATCGGCATCTACATTTATTACTCTTCGCGAGACTTTTTATAAGTAGACGTTTAAAGTCGCTCTTGATGTCTCAACCGACCTCTTAATTAGGTATTAATTATAATAATCGCCGTTGCTACTTTTGCCTATAATAAATTCACAACAAATCAGCTGTAAGATGTTGATTATTCATTGCCTTATATTCGTTGTATCGTTATAATCCCTGATAATCTAAATATATCTCGCAATAAAGTGGTTAATTAGCAACACTAAGATTCTGGCCATCAAACGTCTAACATGCAAGTACATTTTTGGCTATGTATTGCCGAGGAAGGATACAGCTTTTTCTCGTGCTTTCCTTAATCTCGCTGCAAGGTTGTGGGTCCTAAATCGTCTGAAGATGATGGTGAACGATCATGAAGTTGATTCATAGCATCGCTTCTCAGGCGTTTAACGTTTCCACACATTTCCAAGCTGGATTACTGTTGTTCATATTACAATGTTATATTAACAAGTTATAAACGACAATAGTTTTTGTCAGAAGGCTAAGACACCGTCATTTATTGTCAATCTCGTATTCGCTGAATTTTCGAATTAATATTTCATTTATTGTATTAATTATTTATCTGGACTTCAAATAAAACATTTATCTGTAAATTCTTGTTCTCTGGACAAACTTAGCAAATGTATTATATTAAATACTGCAATTTGAAGATGAAAAGATAATCTATCACATCCATAAGTGTTTTTGGAACCCTGAGACAGTCTAAAATATAAGTCAATTAATACTAGTTACGACGGCAGTGATGTTTTCTTTGTTCATTTGATTTGTCACTAGAGTCATCCTCATGTAGTCCTAGAGGTGATGGAGTTCTATCCATCAAGTTGCTATGTGGCTGTTGGTCTAGTGTAATAGGCATGGCGTTCATCACTTGACATGTGAGTGTATTTCAAGAAGTCTAGCAGTCTAATCCAAGCTACTCTAATTGTCTAGTTTGTCGTGTGGTTTTTGCATTAAATGCTCTTGAGACAGTGCCGCAGCAAGTATATTCTATGCTTGTGTGTAGTTACGTAAGTGTTCGATAGCAAGTTTGCTAGAAATCCTCACTTGAACTGCGTCTGTTAGCTGCTCACACTTGTTGAGGTCTTTTTCTAACACTCTTATGAGATATATCTCTTTCTATTCTTTAAGTGAGATTTACTTTAGTCTACTGATTATTAATTACCGATTATGTCTTCCACTTAATTGATGCCATTTCGAAACCAGACTGAATTTTCCCAGCTCAAAAATGTAATTACAGTATTCAATTCATTTCAAACACAAAGACCAAACCTGATGTCGCTGTCAAGTTTCATTTCTGAAAACAATCAGAAATAAACTGACAAATCCACAAAGTGAATATACTTTTTGTTACATACCAACAAGTCTTCGAAATCCAGTGTATAGCCAGTGGGTTTCTCTACGTGCACTTTTGACCGTATAACATGTATTAAATAAAATCTGAAACGAACTCTCCGATGTTTTGATTTGTTGTGCTAGGACTGTCGAAACACCTAGGAATTGTTACTTAGTCGGTGCTTACTTGTAAATACATAGTACTTTGCTTAAAACTGCGAAAGAAAATCCAACAAAAACTCTAGAATACTTTATGCATGTATGCTTACGTCTGGCGCCTCAATGGAGCATAGGCTGCCGACCAGCATTCTTCAACCTACTCCACCTGGGTCTTCCTTTCTAGTTCTATTCAATTGTTGTTCATTCTTCTCATGTCTGTCTCCATTTGTCGGCGTAATGTGCTCTTTGGTCTTCCTCTTCTCCTTTGCTCTTGAGAATTCCATGTGAGGGCTTGCCTTGTGACGCAGTTGTGTGCTTTCCTCAATATGTGTCCTATCCACTTCCAGCGCCTCTTCCTGGTTTGTTTTCTCCCATAGTAGGTTGTTGCTGATAGTTTCTGGCCAACGGATCCGAAGTATCTTGCATAGACAACTGTTAATAAACACTTGTATCTTCTGGATGATGGCTTTCGTAGTTCTCCATGTTTCCGCCCCATACAGTAGAACTGCCTTGAAATTTGTGTTGGGAATTCTGACTTTGGTGTTGGTTGACAGACAGTTGTTTTGAGTTCCAGATGTTCTTCAGTTGTAGATATGCTGCTCTTGCTTTGCCGATCGACGTCTTCACATCTGCATCAGATCCACCGTGCCCATCGATGATGTTGCCCAGATATGTGAAGGTTTTTACATCCTCCACAGCTTCTCCGTCAAATGTGACTTGGTTGGTGCATGTTGTGTTGTATCGGAAAGTCTTGGTTTCCCCTTTGTGTATGTTGAGATCTACTACTGCTACATCGGCCTTCTTCTCCTGCATTTGTTGTTGCGTGTGCGATAAAAGAGCTAGTTCATCTGCGAAGTCTAGGTCATCCAGCTGCATCCTAGCTGTCCGTTGTATCCTGTGTTTTCCCACAGATATTGACGTCTTCATGATCCTGTCGATCACCAGGAGGAAGAGAGGTTGAGAGTAAGCAACCTTGCCTGACATCGGTCTTTAATTCGAACGAGTCAGTTAGCTGCCCTCCATGCATGATTTTGCATTTTAAGCAATCATAAGAATTACGTATGATATTGCCTATCATCTCAGGCACGCCGTAGTTTCGAAGAAGCCTCCATAGTGTTGTCTTGTCCACACTATTAAGTATATTTTCGTAGTCAATGAAGTTGATGTAGAGTGATGAATTCCATTCAATTAATTGTTCCACAATGATCCGTAGTGTGCGTGATTTGGTCTGTACACGATCGACCCTTACAAAATGCAGCCTGTTGATCTCGAAGTTGGGAGTCTACGGAGTCTTTTATTCTGTTTGACAATACATTTTTGCGGACTTCCCCTGGTATTGAGAGAAGAGTGATGTCTCTGTAGTTCTCACTCTTGCTGAGATCACTTTTCTTTGGTATTTCGATCAGATGTCCAGTCTGTTGGTAATTGTTCTTCATCCCAAATCTTACTGAAGAGAATGTGGAGTATCTTTACCGTTACCGCTACGTTTAATTTTAGTGCCTCGCTGAAAAAAACGCCAACCAGAAAAATGATTTAGAACATTCATCGTATCTTTTAAATACTGTTTAATTCAAACATTCTAACAATTTGATTTAACAAAAATACAACCAAGAAACCTTGTTCCAATAAAATCATAATATAAGAATAAATAGTAGTTAATAAGTCATGGTTCAATATCGGACTGGAAGATATAATTTTTAAAGCCAATGAAAAAAATAATGACAAACTCCAAAATAAAGTGAGAGTGGATGCTGTGTTCTAGCGAAATGCACATTGTTCATGTCAGCGAATAAATTCTATTTTTGGTCAAATAACATACACAAATTTTTATGAATCAAGAGATACCAGGGTGCAAAGTATTTTTATGATACTTTGTACGCCACTAGGAAAAACTGTCTTAACAGATTCTCAATAAAGGATTTCACGTAAAATGTTAAAGTGTAGGATTTTCTTGCAGTAATACAGAAGGCAAAAGACGTATAAGCAGGTCAGCAAAAGAAGAATCTACAAACGACAGGTTACATATTAGCCGCAATAGGAATCAAATGACACAATATATTCAGATGACGCTGAAAGTCTTTTCAAGTACATTAAGCAAATAAATTTATTGATAATCCGTCACTGAATCTAGATAATTGACTGAAAATAAGTAACTGATATTGCTGGCAAGCATGAATAGTTTCGCAAATACTTTTGACCTTAATTCGCATACATTCTACTGAATTGGTTGTTTTAAATGCTGGTTATCAATACATTCGATCATAATTATAGTAAATGAAGCTTTTACAACAAATATTAACATAAAGGGCAGTAACTACATATTTTATTGTGCTTGCCGTATTGTTTGTTTTGATGGGTTCGAATTCGACACTAATGCCAGATGTATTAACAGATTGAAAATAAGGATTCATCTCCAACACTCAGTGTAAAAATATAATATAGTGTACCGACATCAGCTCTGTGGTCAAGAATGTACATCAGGTTACGCGTAAAAGGAACAAGTGCGTCGCTCATTCCTTCGATCTTTAGAATGAAGAACTCACCGAACGACCTTAACGGGTAGGGGACAGACTGTCCATCAAAACACTGTACTGCCTTTGAAACGCTCCTGCTTGGTTTTTGGTAGCATTTGGAATGAACTTCCTTCTGCTTGACCTTCAACTCCGGAGTTTCTGTGAATTTCTTCTACTTGCACTTCACACTCCGAAGTGCTCCTAACAATCTGAGAAGTATGTTTTACAAAATGGTCTATTTAAAATGGAATACCTGGTAGAACGTAGGTCGATTATTATCACTTATTATTGGAGAACATATGTCAGTCAATCAGTTACAACGTAGGACCAGACACACATGCATCGGTCCAAGCTGCCATACCTCGTTAGCACAACATATGTACCTCATAATTAATTGTCTAGGTTGGTTATTAATTAATAAATTTCTAAAAATAGTTTGTCCTACGTTAATGTAGACAAACAATACATGTGTGAGTATAAAGATGTTGTAAAAATGGTGAAAGCGTAATGTGGTTCATGGAGAATATTGTTACGCATATTAAAAAAGTGGAAATCGTAATGTCCCTGGACGTAAATTAAAAATGTTAAACTAATTTTTGACAAAATGTCCTCACGTTGACTACACAGCCATCAATTGATGACTGAAACTCAATGTGAACCTATCGGCACGTGTGAACTGTGCTTAGCTATCTCGGTCTAATTTTATCGATATTCTTTACGTGGTCCAACACATCGTATGAAATGTAAAATAATACAATCATGACATTTTCACTGTTCAATACGTCCACTAGTATCCAGGTCACCAAAATTTACTCTCTAGAATTCAGAACACAGATATAACAGTTCGATACTTATTCAAAATAAATCGTGGACCTAGGTAGTTCTGAGGTTAAAAATGCTTTGGGAGGTGTAGTGTTCTTTAAGCTACAAATTCTCTCTATCATCTTGCAATCGTATGGTTACATATTTGTTCCGAAGGTCATATAAATATAGTCGGATCAGTGGGTTGCCAACCTTTAATTATGGCATTAGCTATTAAGAAAATTCGTCGAATACGAGCGATTCATGATGGTCCAGGGATTCCCACAAGGGCTGATGAAGAGCCACAGTAAATAAAACGAAGTGAACTAACGCAACAAGATAAAGAAATGTTTACTGTCAGAATACGAAAGATTGAGTAATTGTGATTAAGACTCATTTTTATCTTGAACATTTGCAGGAAGTGACAGCGACAAATCATAATACAGACTAAATAAAAGAGAATATAAAGGATTTTAAATCACTTTCGGTGAATTGTAATGATAGAGGAACATATTAAATACAAAAGGATGATATGTCTGATAATCTAATAGGAAACAACGCTTCTAAAATCGCAATGTATACAAACAAAATTTAGGTAAATTAATGAAAAGACATCATATTCAACAAGCATAAAATATTTATTCAAAACTAAAACAATCAAGCTTAACCCATGAATTCACTGATTATTTATTTACGCCTGTTATCACTCGTGCATGAGCATAGGCCGCCCACCAGCATTCCTATCGAACTCCGACCCGAATAATTCACCCTAGTTGCCATTCATCCTATTGATGTCTGTCTCCTATTATAGACGCAATGTCTTCCTCTCTTCCGTCCCCATCAGGGATTCCACGTTAGGACTTGTCTCGTGATGCAATCTAATGATTTCCGCAATGTATGTCCTATCTACCTGAAGCGTCTTTTCCTAATTTCCTCTTCATTTTGAATCTGGTTTGTTCTCTCCGACAGTAGGCTGCTTCTGATGGTATTCGACCGACGGACATTGAGTATCTAACGTAGACAATTGTTTAGATATGCCTGCTTTTCTAACGATGGTTGTAGTTGTTCTCCACGTGTCAGCTCTGTACAATAGGACTGTATTGTAGAATTTGATATTGCTTCATAGTTGTTTTGAGTTCCAAATGTTTTTCAAACGTAAGAATGCTGTCCTTGCTTTGCCAACCCTCGCCTTTACGTCTGCATCAGATCCTCCTTGTTCATCGTGAAAGTTTCCACCTTTTCCAAAGTTTCTCCATCAGGTGCGATTTGGTTGGTGTTCTACGTATTGTATTTGAAGATCTTGCTTTCCCCTTGTGTATGTTGAGGCCTACTGACGCAAGGGCTGCTGCTACACCAGTTGTTTTCATCTTCGTTTGTTGGTGTGTATGGGGTAGAAAGGCCAGATCATCTGCGAAGTCGGAATCGTCTAGTTGGATGGGAGCTGTCCATTGTATTCCGCTCTTCCCGTCGGATGTGGAGGTCTTCATAACGCAGTCAACCACCAAAAGAAAAAGGAAGGGGAGGAAGTAAGCAGCCTTATCTGACTCCGGTCCTCACTTGAAATGCGTCTGTTAGCTGCTCACACTTGTTGGGGTCTTTTTCTAACACTGTGATGAGGTATATCTCTTTCTATTCTATCAGCACTTGTTCCTCCTCCCAAACATTTCTGAATAGAACGTAAGGCGTGTTTGCAGTTACCTCTATATTTTCAGTGATCTTCTTTGAGTAGATCTTGTAGGGCTTGGAACCTGTAGTCGAGAGCTATCTTGGTTTCGTCGAGTTTATCGGTGTCTTGAAGGAAGGCTGCATTGAACCTTTGTAATGTTGTCTCTACAGTAGTGTAGTGGTTCTTTACCTTCACTTTTATCTTGGCTACAACCAAGTGGTGATCTGAAGCTATGTCAGCTCTTTTCCTGTTTCCAACGTCTTCCATTGACCTTCTGGATTGTTTAGTGATGCAAATATGATCTATCTGATTTCCTGTAATGTGATCCGGTGAGATCCAGGTAGCTTTGTGTACGTGTTTGTGAAGCAATGCAATGGCACCTTTAATTATTTCTTAATGCACATAAATTTGTCACTTGTCCCACTCTCCCAGTCCATGATATCCTTATTCTTTGGCGTCTAGGTCTCCGATCAGAATGGTCAGTTCGTTTCCTGAGCACTTCTGTATGAATGACTGAAGCCTCTCATAAAACTGATATTTATCGTCTTCATTGACATAATTTTTGCAACATTCATTGTAATTTCCTTGTTCTTTGTTATAAATAATGCATTGATGATTCTGGGTCCATGAGATTCTCATTCTATTGGCGCTTTTCGTTCTTCTTTGCACAGCACCAACACAACTCCTTGTGTGCGCATTTCCTTTTTCATGATAAGAGTACAACAGCATCTCTTCCGAATTTAGTCTTTTCTGTCCACTTTGTGTCCAATGAGTTTCACTGGTTCCGAGAACCTGAAGCTGTGTCTCCTCATTTTCGTAGCTGTTTGACTGGTTCTCCCGGTCTTCCACATTGTTCGAACATCCCATGTACCTATGTATTTTTACTCTGGTAACTAGAAGGGATGTAGGCTTCGTGACTTCCAAAATGTTTCGGCTTTCACCATGAAACCTCATGACTCTTCTAGATGAAGATCATTCAACCTCTAAGACTGAGTTTAAGTAGCTGAAATAATTTTTGTGGTTAAATTTTATTTTATAAAGGTTGTTTTCCACAAGATAGGGTTGTTGATCCCATGTCCAACCCCGCTCCTCCATATGAGCTTGGGACCGGCAGTCATCCTAGAAGGATCACAGGCGGAGTTCTGAAAATGCCTTTATGGGTAAGTAGTGAAATGAGTGTTTTCAAACTACATATCATTACACTTTTATTTGAGAATCAGATACGGGCCAATATTATTGCGTTTACCTGCATTCATAGATAACATTTCAATAATTAAGCTAATCTGGACAAATAAGAGGAAATTTTTAAGCAGATACAGATAGTGACGCACGTTTCGTCATACTCGGGACTCGTCAGCTGGATGTGCCTAGGTCCCGGAGTTGGTGTGCATTGTGGGACTCGAACTTGGTACCGTTCGTTTCAAAAACACCATCGCATTATCCACTTAGTTACTGAATCGAGAAATTGGGTGGTTTTTAATTCATATATATTAGCCGTTTGAATCTTCTCATCGATAATGAAAGCTGCAATTGATTAGTCTCTTTTGGCAACCTGTGTGGATTACCTCGATATTACCATTAAGTCAAAAACATTTTTATGCGGAGATGGATCAAATGATTAGTATTAAAATCAATTCTAGAAAATCCTGTTATTTCCAATTTCTGAGTGATTTTAACTCACTACTATTATCTTCTGTAACTTGAATTTAAATTTATGAAACAATCAGTTTTTCCAAGTATTTTTGAGAAATATGTTTCCGAATTTTGAAATAAAACGCTTAAACAGAAGATACAATTTTATATTTTTTTATTAGAGAGTACTGAGTACGTCTCACATAGAAATGTGAAAACTATAGCCTTCAAATCCACTGTGATCCCCGATCAAATTCCATAGAGCTCGAGTGATCACTCTGAAATAAGCATAGAAGCACCCAGAAAATATATAATTTTAGGTTGCGGCAACAAGTCACTTTATATCAGGGTTTAAGAGAATAATATTTGAAAACAAATTCAATCTGTTGTATAAGCAGCGTAAGGAACGTAACTATGTTCAATTCCCAGCTTTAAGCAGAGAGCACAGTGTCTCGAAAATCTTCTCAAATATAAAGTTACCAGATTTCGGAGTTGAAAATTTACTTTCATGACGTTTTGATAATTATGATACGTTCAAATAATTTACTTTGTTGACTGCTCTACTTTCTTTTGTTATTTCGCCGGCTGTTCACGAACTTCAGATGCAACAAGTAGATCAACATGCTAATAACACTGAATTCTGTCCGTCATTGACGAAGGATTAGTTTGCACTCGTTCGATTTTGGTGGATTAAATTACACTTGTGAACAAGCGTTTCATGTAATAACTTCGATAACTCAATATTTTTTGGGTCGCAATTTACAAGTAAAATAAATTCTAATCACTAAAAACTCATGAAAAACTGTTTCCAGTTGCACTCATATTATTGTGATAGTGACATCGTTAACGATGGTGTTTGCATAAGTAAAATTGGTTTCAATAAAATATGGTCTATCCCAGTATCTTAATTAAAAACATGTTGATATTTTATATATCCGACTTATCTGATGTTCATGTGGCCATTTATAAAAAATATCCACCCACTTCAGCTTCGAATTCAAGACTTGATTTACTTTCTAAAAAAACTATAGAATAAAATGTATGTAACATATCATATTCTTACTAAAATATGTTATTTTCATTTTAATAAGTGTTAAACACATATTTTCGAACATTTTGTCATCAGTTAATCTCTTTGTTAAGAAAATCATCGGTTATTTTATGCACTTATTTCTCGATTTGTCTTTATCTCAATATTACGACTTGTGAATTCTACCTCTCATATGTGGGTAAGTTACTATCCAAGTTAAATGTTATGCAACATAGTTTTAAGTACCATTTTTTTCATTCCATTTTAATTATTAATCATGGGCGGATCCTCTCAATATTCCAGAGGCAAATCTATCTAAAAGCTGTCGGTTGAATCAATCCATACAACTAATAAACAAATAGTTATTTTTTCACAATTTTACCCTTACATTTAAAATAATCTTATTCTATGCTATCTAATAGTACTGTCCACATTCACGTGATAAGAAAGTTTGTCCACTTAAAATTCTTTGCCATACAACTGAACCAGTCAAGATGTACACTAACAATTTGGTTGACCTTGGTCATTTGACCAATCAGAAGACGAACCATCCGCCTCCGTAATTATATAAACCAATATACTACAAATGACTTGAGAATTTGGACGTGCTCTTCTCTGGTTTTTCGTGCTGATTTGAGGACTATGCCTTTTACGCCAGTAAGTTTTTACCTACATATTCTATTTAAATTATTTGTCTTTGGTACATAATACTTTTTCTTAGTTTAATGTACTAGAAAATCTATTTGTAGCTAAAACAAAAAGCTCTAATGAACTCGCAAAGTTTAGGGAAATTCTCAGGAAACGTTTCATTTTATTTATTTGCTAATACCTGATTGGATAAATTTTGAGAAATTTGACTAGATGTTATTCAATTTAACCTGGTTCAAATTGTTATCCTTGAATTTGCTGCCTAGCAGTGGTGTATATATGTATAGAGTTAGGATGTACTGTGCAGTTACTTTCTCTCGTGATCGAAATAAGGATCCCTGTCCATATAGAATTATTGTTAGTTTCATTTATCCAGGTGTGCACGCTGTAGGACCCGGCACAAATATGCATCAATTCAAAGGCCATATCTCACACCAACACAGCAGGAGATAAATTTTTCAGGCTTAAAATTAGTTGGGTGGACATAACAATATCGGTTGCTCTGATAAGCTAAACTTAGGGAATGTAGTTCTAAATGGACGAACGAGATCAAAGAATGAAGGATTTGGAATGATGGCTAACGATTTAGCTGTATATAAGAAATGAACACATCTGTATCACTAAGTTTGAGGCAAAACAGTTTGGAACTTTACCATTACTTACTTACTTACGCCCGTCACTCCCAATGGAACATAGGCCGCCGACCAGCAATGATCCGTGGTGTTGCGATTTGGTCTGTACATGATCGACCCTTACGAAATCTAGCTTGTTGATCTCGAAGTTGATATCTACGGAGTCCTTCATTCTGTTTAACAATATCCTGTTGAGGATTTTTCCTGGTATTGGGAGAAGAGTGATGTCTCTGTAATTCTCACACTTGCTGATATCGCTTTTCTTTGGTATTTTAATCAGAATTCTTTTTTCCATGGATGACGTTTACCATATGAACCCAAACCTACGTATACATAGGAACTGTTATGAGTTATCCATTGGAGATGTGTATGAGATGTTATAATCACCTCAATCAATGAAGATTCACAGGCTAACCAACTGACTTGTTATATCTACTTAGCACTCTACGTCGAAACTCAGTATCACTCACTTGGTTCCCCCACCATACAGGATTGATGGCTAAGTTACATTTAATTTTAGCAACGTACATGCTCCTCTGCCCTCAAGGGCTATATTACATAATTTCAACTAAATATAAGGCGAACTGTTGCGTAAAACAGTCACCATTTGATATGCAAGCAGATATCTTACCTGCTCCAAATGTAGCACCGATTTTCAGAAGAGGAGATGGCTTCTTGCATCTGTTTTGAGGTTTCGTCAGCCCCTGACTTCTTAAGGGTTATAACTGTTTAACGTACTAAACTACCTCACTTCTTATAGTCAAATTAGGTATTGATGAGTCAGTCTTTAAACGATATTTTTTAACCCATACCTTATCACTCAAGCTGTCTAGGAGGTTATAATTTTGTCAGCGTCTTCACTAGACAGAGCTGTGTTAATCTAAGACCAGCCAACTTTCACCGGCTGAAGCAGTCATTTATATTCACTTTTCAACATAGTATGGCTTAATTTCTGTTGTCATGCTCGTTACTACCATCGTTAAACACTGTTTTGACTTAATTTTTAGTACTGAGAGAAGGATTCTCAAACTATTCGGTCAGTAATCACATGAATATAGGGAATGTACCTGTGAAGTGCCTCAAAATAAAACTAAGCAGTTGCCGAGTCCTTCTCAGTTCCCAGTAATTAAATGATGTCAGTTCCCTAAGCATCTGACTTTTGGGAGATTAAGGCCTCTTTCTGGCAGAATTTAACATTTTTTTCAAAATAGCCACCATCATTCAGGAAAAGTAGACATCTACGAAGTTGTTTGCTCGGGGTTGTGATGAATAGTTTTATCACACTGAAGACAATTTCCAATTTCTATTTCCCCTCGTTTACTGTGTTTATTTATTTCGGAAGCTGTCGTAGTTTAAAAACGGTGCAACTGCCTGTATACATTGTTTAGGATTAAAAAATCACGGTATCAAAATAACTAAAAGATTTTCAACCCTAAACATTAAGAAGGGAATTAATCGTATACCACCCCTACCCAGCTTGTTTATTTATATCATTTCCTACACGTTTATATGAATGTTTCTTGGGTGAAATTAGATTTATAGCAGTTGCTTATAAGTACAAACTTTAATCCTGTCATCACATACTGTCTTTCAGTCTTTTCCCTTCAATCTTCCAATAAAAGTGAATGTATCCAGAATTGTTTGGGGAAAATAGAGTGGCAATTATGACACTATACATTGGTCGATCGATCGAATCTTTGTCTATCACAATGATATAAAATGACCTTGATAACCTTTCTTCCAATCAAATCAGAAACGCAACACCAATTTATTGTGTTAAGGTCGAAAATGGTCGATTAGTCTTTGGCTAAAGGAAAGTACATTTCGGAGTTAGGACACTGTCATTTAGGATATTATTTTGTTAGTGGGACAACTGCATTTTTGGGTTAAGATAAACAAGATAACGTAAATGACTAGAATAGTCTAGTGGTTAGTCACCATAATTAATATTCATCTGCGTCTAGGTTTCAATCCGTCAGTTTAATGGTGTACAAAAATATTTTAGGGAAATAGTGTTGCGCTTGCGTATATTGCAATGGGTATGGATAGGTCAGAATATCTGTTACCAATCTTTTCAACTGCGTCAAGATAAGTGTCTGAATTCTAGTTGAAGTGAATTTCATTTTTATCTCAAAAATTTGGCAACATGTGGGGTAAATAGATGTGTTTGATCTAAGTGAAATATCAGCTTGGGGTTCGGAGCATAGAGCCACGATGTGAAAAGACGGTTCTCTTTTGACATTGAGCTTAGCATATGGTTCCATATTCGGCATGACTCATTCCTTCTTCAAGTTGAAGGGAGATGTTTTGTCGGTAAGACTATGCTATAACGCCTAGTCAATCCTGTTATGTCCTAAGCGCTGTCAAATATTACATGACAAGATTACTAGTCGGAACACCGGCCTATACGATCTTGACACTGTACCAAACCAATAACGCTTTAACCAGTACGAGCGGCCTAGAGTCAACCCTGAGTTCTTATTGGTCCTTCTCGCCTAACCCCGTTCATTTGAGTCCAGAATACAATCTCAGCTTCCACTGTATGAACCATGTATGTCAGACAAACTCAGTTTATATACAAGCAAATCAGACCACATCATACCATAAAATAGAAAATAACAACTATGTGAGATCAAACCAAAAGTGGCTGTAAGTGTGAGAGACTGTAACTAATAAATTGGGAATAACAAGAATAATAAGTCATATAATAGTAGTCAACAGGTTAAATGAAGGCTTATAATAAGAGGAATGTGAATATACATATAATATAGTTACTTAATGGTTATCCAATAGGCATATATGTAATAATAGTCCATAAATAATTCCTAGCGGTCACCAATCATTTACTCTTCGTTAGGATGTAACCAATACATACCAAAAAAAACTTTCGAATTTTCGCGCGAAATTTAGGAAGTTATCTATCATGTAAAGAACTTTATGGAAAATACCTCTGCATATTATTCAGAATGTTTATATTTAACAACAGGGATTCTTTTTTATTGCTGTTAAATAGGGATAACTTGGTGTAAAAGTAAAATCAAAATAGTTCCCTATTGTTTGATACACCTTGCTTTCAAAACATTGTTATAATTGAGGTTTATCCCGTTGTGGAGATTAAACTCGCAAACAATTCATTTTATTATCGATTCGCCTAGTAATAGGTGCTCCGCTAGCGTACAGATACTGACATTGGTCACGACGTTTATCGATCGTTGTCCCAACTCATTTTTAACAAATTTACGACGAATTTGTGGCAAGGATAAGGTTGTAAAATGAAATAAATGTTGTTTATAGGACATTTATAGCCTTAGAATTGATTCAGAAAGAAAACTCCATGCCCAAATAAATGAGTTTCTATCATTCATAACCGTTATAAAATCTGTATTTATTAGGTTTGACTGCTTCCTTCATTGTTACTGACTATTATTTATTTGAACACATAAATATGGTACAAGGGTGCACCGAGCATATATACGCTACTTAAGTCACTTGATTTGTGATTGGGCTATGATACTGCCCGGGTGCCCAGAGTGACTGTTTATCCCTTACGTAGTGGTTTAAAAATAAAAGTCATTTATAATACATCTAAATGTCGTCGCTGTAATATGGTTTTAAGCTTTCTCCTTCCCTGGATTGGTAAAAATTTTCCCTTTGTGTGATATTTCATCAACACCTCATAATTTTGTTCTTACTAACCAACTGTACTAATATTGGTGAAATTTTGTGTTACTGACTTCAGAAGTTACAAACACTGTTAATTGTAGTAATCAGGAAATCAATATTTACAAAAGTTGCAGACAAGGACGTAAACGTACGACATCTGGTAAGGCGTTGATCGCACACGATATGAATTTAAAATAAATTGCGCTACACTTTTAGATCACTTATCCATAGTTTACAATGATCAGTAGACATTAAAAGATTCCATAAACCATAGTAGATTTACAGGACACGTGAAGATTATAGTGAATACACTTTATTATTGTATGGATAATATTAATATTTAAAATAACAATAAGCTGTTCCCAATAATTAAGTCACTAACAATAATTTTCTATATAGGCAAAAGTAGAGAAGTGTGTACGTTGTGACAAATCGGTTTACGCTGCTGAAAGGATGGAAGCCGGTGGGAATATCTGGCACAAGCGTTGTTTTTGTTGTTCAAAATGTGATATGCTACTGAAGTAAGTACTTGTCTGTTAATTCCCACTTACCAAATCTTTTTCCTTCACTTTGATAACTTTATTTTATCTGAGAATTTTATGGATTGTTGCGCAACCTGTTAAGTATTTTCACTACGTTTTACTATTCAGTTCAGTTAAAATGCATACTTTATAACACCTACTCAAACAAAAATCGAGGGTGTTAGGACTGAAAGTGTGTAAGAAGTCTTATTATCAAGGGCCTGGCAATTATGTACATAATTCGTGCGTGTATATTTGTACTCACACTATGTAACCTCACTGTGATCTTTCCGGGATTCCCTAACATATCAGTTTTCAATTAAATCTAACTCGTAACTAAGATCATACTCTGGTTTTTAAGTTTAGCAATGTTGTAAAATTTATCAACTTCTTGCATTTCATTTAAGCAAAGCCACTTGAGATTGCGGTCTATTTCGCTTATATTCGATTCGTTGGTTTGTTAATAGGAAGTCAGTTGTGATCACCTGTAATTAAATGATTTCATTTTTCAAATTTTGGACTGGATGTGGAATACTCATTTACTTTTTTAAACTGATGTATGGTATGTTGTCTAATAGACAACAGTGCTATGAATCAGGGTTCTTTCTTGTTAGTTTCGGCATACCAAAGGATTCTAGATCTCCTATGATTCTCTAAATGTATCATCATTTCATGAATATTATCCATCCGCTTTTCACTTTTGTGCGCAACAAGTTTATCAACTATACTAGCGTATAATATTACCTCAATTTTTACATCGTTCAGGTGAAAATATCAGTTTCCGAAATTTTTTGTGAATATTAGAAATATTAGTTCATGTAAGCCGTTTGATTATTTCCCACTTTTCCCTTTGAATTAACCAAGATTTTCTATCCTCATAAACTCCATGGTGTTTGTCTTTCGATGTAAACAAAAACTTAGTACCACTCCTGTTACCATATATTAACAACTCTTAAAATATCATTTATATACCACAACATTCTAAATATTAAGTATTATTTCTAAAGAAAATTGGAAATTGGCTATCAATGGAATCTTTCATTGAACTTATCAACCGAATTCATCTCCTTATCTCATTCTTGATTTTCACACCTGGAAACAGGCTTAGTACTTTTCACTCTTAACATTTTACTCACTGAGTTTAGATAACCATTAGTTTGTCCAATAGAGATTAAACATTATTTAAAAGAAGAATCAATCTTTTTTAATATCTATATATTATCAGATTATACCTGAAATAGATATGATAAAGTGTATTACTACTGTACAAATACATGTCATTATTAACTAAGTTGTTCTCAATTGATTAATCTCTTTATATATCTGTGTTTATATATTAAACCTGTATGATAATAGTAAATCATGTTTAAACAATATCATAGAGATTAATAAAGTTAATATGGTAATGTTAAACGTATATACTTGAAATCAATAATTTTCTATACTATATGTCTATGTAAACATCGTCTTTTTTTCTTGTCTTTAATTTATATTAAAAAGCGATATATAAATTATAGTGAACAAGGAATTATTGAATTGAAGTACAAGTTAACATACAAAATCGGTTTTCTTTTCTAGTTGTCTATAATATGCTGCTGGAAATAACACTCTCGTGGACTGAATTTTCAGGAATTGATCTCCTACCAGGAGGTCCACTTATCGACTTAGATTACGCAGATGGCATAGTCAGATTTGGTGATGACCCTGATAAATTGCAGAATCTTCTGTTAGAACTGAGTAACAATGCCAGGATATTTGGAATGCGTTTCTCCCCCTCTAAATGTAAATTGTTACTCCAGAACTGGCCTGCGTCAACACCCGAACTAAGGATAGGGAGTGAAGTAGTGGAACGAGTCGACAACTTCACTTATCTTGGAAGTCTGATCAGTTCTAATGGGTTGGTGTCTGACGAAATCTCAGTACGGATTCAAAAAGCTCGTTTGGCTTTTGCCAACTTATGTCACCTATGGCGAAGACGACATATCCGTTTATCAATTAAGTGACGAGTATTCTGCGCAGCAGTAATGTGGGACTCCTCAGCGGTGAGCATCCACGTTCTCTCACTGCTGAGAAGTCCCACACTAGGATGTAACGGTCATCCAGTGCTTCCAGCTTTTGCATGACGGTCTAGCTTCAATCGACTGATGAATTTAACTATTAAATTACTACAAATTCCACAAACCTCCATTCTGATAATAATGAATTTTATAGTACTGTGAATGTGTTCATAGTGTTTATTTATTTAAACACATAAACATTTATACAAAAGATCACCAAAGTAAATATGCGTTACATAATAAAAATGAAACTGTGAAGAGACAGAAAAATAAAAATGAACATAATAAAAAAAATAAAGGACAAAGATTGAATAGTGTATGAGAATGAAAATCAATAATGATAATAATAATGAGAGAAGCAGTTCAGTTGAGAAAAATACAACGAAAACGAAATATTTCAGTCACAAAAGTTACTCTCACTTATATGAAGATAGTAAACGAAATATACAGCAGGACTCACCACTTTCTTTTATACTAAGCCATGTTTGATAACGTCTCTAGACAATGTGTTGTACTATCTTCCAGGACCCCAACCAGTGAATTGTTAAGTCACAACAGATACTAGTTCTGTACAGATACCATGTCATACACTGACCACCCCTCGGTCTTTTTCAACCAGTCCCATAAAAATCTGTAGACACAACTTTGTGTAGAACAAAGAGGGCCTTTCTCTTTATTCAAACATTCATTTCAAAGTGTTTTAAGACTTTGCAGCCCTTTTGGGACTATTATATGTTACCCTTGATGTTTGAATAAAAGATAATGTAGAAGTTGGAGTGTTATCATTATTATTTGATGTCTTATTTTGTATATTTTTAAAGCGTATTTCCAAACGGGTAATGGTATTTCTTTTTTACATACCTTTAATTGTGAACTTTCGTTGGTTTGTTGATTATCAATCGCTTAACCATAAGTAGGTTACTTAGCTTCATGACGAAAGTTTTTTTTATATGGCTGTTAAAAGGCATACAAACTAAAGTGGATTGTGATTTAGTTTTTATTGTTATATTCATGTAAATAATGAGTCAGAGTAATAAAAATGCCTATAACCCTTTGTCTGACCTTTTGTTATTATAATTAAAAATTTGAGTAAGTGCGAAATTCCATAGCTAAACGAAATAGTAATGAGGCTGAACTGGTTATGGTTAGTGGTGTAGACAACATGATATTTCGGACTAATATTTATTGTATACATATCGTAACACTATATTAACAATTTAAAGGTAGGGTACTTATTCAACTGACAACTTGGTTACATAACTATATCGTTTACTTTTGACGTCATTTGAATGGGATGTTTTTTCTTAATCGAGTAAAACAAGAGTAAAATAAATCAGCATAGATTCAACATCGTGGATTGGTTGAAGTTAGACATTAACACCGTTGGATGCCGGCTCAGTGGTCTATCGGTTAAGTACTCTGGCGCGAGACTGGTAGGTCCTGGGTTCGAGTCTCGCGAGTGTGAGGTCGTGGATGCGCACTGCTGGGGAGCCCCATAATAGAACGAAACGGCCGTACAGTGCTTCCAGGTTTTTCATGGTGGTCTAGCTTCAATTGACGCATGAGTTCAACTATGAAAAAAGGAGTAAAATAGTTTTTTTTTATTTTCTTAATATTAATCAATTATTATTCCGACACATCACTTGTTCACATACACCAACATATTTTAAAACATGCACGTAAATTAATATACAGTGCTAAGGTTTTAATTAAAAGAAGTATTTCGATAAAAAGGAAATTTATCTACTTCATTAACTGTAGTATCTACTGAAAACAAGGTGAATATACAAGTATGCCAGTCATTTAGTTTCTTTTCCAATATAAATATTCCTTACATTCATATTACATAGTTAAATATAATAGGATACGTTTATGCACATTTCATATAATATACATATGATTTATATGACTTTTTATTTCATGTGATTATAAGTCATATGAATATATATATGTTGTACAAGAAATTAAATAACTATTCCACTTTGAAACTGTTTTACACTACAAAGGTACCAGCTGGTGAAAACTGAAAATTAGATTACACTGGACACTTATTTCATTTGAACACTATATTTGTTATCAGTACTGATACCCAAACGAATATAAATTCAAGCCTAGAACTTTTGATCATTACGCGCTGTTGACCTTCTCTTAAACTAAGTTTAAAAAAATTTATACTAAACATAGTTCCTTTTTACTAAATTAAACAGAGGAAAATAAAGATTTAAGTAGAATAACATGAATTCATATTTCGTTAGGTTTGCATCCAGATCCTTATGACTTAAAATGTTTCAAATTAAACTTACAAAATAATTTGAATATACTTACAGAAAGGAGTTTTATATATACTTGAAATCATGAGTCAATTGAAGCTAGACTACCGTAGAAAACATGGAAGCACTGGACAGCCGTTTTGTCTTATTGTGGGACTCCTCAGTTTAAAAGTTAACGTGAATATGTATTAACACAGTGTTTCGAAGATCCTTGTTAATATTATTATTATTATTATTATTATTATTATTATTATTATTATTATTATTATTATTATGTATTATACCCCTAATTGTTACACCATAATTAGTCATTCCAATGTTACGATTTGTTGATTTTCGAATGTTTAATAATAGATTAAACATAAAGTTAGAACTAAGTAAAATACATTTAAGAAGTAAAGCTATTTTGGAGTAAAATTTATTTATTATTCTCATGATGCATGTGATTGTAACAAGTTGTATCACAAAGTTTTTTTTGTATAGTTCAATGTATAGAAATTGGTGACAATTTATTCGTTTAAAGATCCCCATCATATGAAAAGACTAATATTTGAACGGAGAATATTCTTTTCGATACATTCTCTTCAGGTTCTACAATTATATTATCCAAATCAATAATCCGAAAAAATGGCCAGGTTAAAGGCAAACTACATCGTTTAAAGCATGTAAATTT